AAGAACATTTTTTGGCGAGTATAATTACTGCATTAGAAACATTTTAATTCCATCAAAGGAAACCTTACAAATACAGGGACATTTATACTATTTGATAACAAATAATTGTATTATACAAAATGCATGGATCAGAAAACAATTTTTCATTTTACTATCACAATAAATTTCCTTCCTTTCTGATAGCACTTTGTATATTCATAAACATATAAAATAAATCATTCAAAATAGTTTAAAAGGAATATGTGGGGATCACATATTATAGAAAATGGCGATTGCATCAAAATACGTTGACAGATTTTTTTTTGATTGTGCTGTGTTTTTGTTTGGTAAAAATTGTATCATTCATAAGAACAGATATTTTATATATGTTAACTCCTATACGTGCTCAAGAAGTGTGCCACAATCTATTATATAGTGTAAATTGTATAATAGATTGGGACGTGCTCTTCGAGCACGTCGTTAACAACAAATTGTATTCAGCTATTATTGTTAACGACGTGCTCGAAGAGCACGTCGCAATATATTACACAATATACATTATATAATAGATTATGACACTATACACTCTATGTAACACGTCGTTAACTACAATATATGAATACAATATGTTGTTAAACGTTCTTAAATGCATGTTACAATCTATTATATAGTGTACATTGTATAATAGATTGCGACGTGCTCTTCGAGCACGTCGTTAACAAAAATGTATTCAAATATTGTTGTTAACGACGTGCTCGAAGAGCACGTCGCAATCTATTGCACAATATAATAGAAAATTTCAACAGAACGAGGGGCGATACTTATTGCATGAATGTGAAGACTACGTCTCGGTATGGTTACTATACCCTACTCTGTACTAATAACCAGTAAGTCTCAACATTACCATATTTAATATTACTGCAAATATGTCATTTATAATAAATGAATAAAGAAGAAAGTACCTAATTTATTCGTAAAATATCTGTCAAAATAATTTGCCCAAATCACCATTTTGTAATGAGATCGAATTGGTCTAAACTAATTTATTAAATCTACAAGCCGTTTTTATGGTCTATAGCAACCAGTTGAGAATACTTTTATAAAAAAAATTAACAATCACTGATATATTCAAAATTCAATCGTTCTTACCATTTACGCAACTTCATTCAGTCATTCATAACATTGTAAGACGTTAAAATTCATACGAGTAAGTTTTGAAATTAGATGCATTACCCTGTACACAAATACAGTACCCTTAAATCTAGCAATGTATTACCATGTGTTCCATAAAAGTTATTTTGTAACAAACCTTTTTAATCAACGCAAAGGATCCCGTACTAATCTTATAATAAATTGGGAATTTCAAGAAACTTATACAGGGTGGTCCGGATTTAATTTACGTATACAGACATATCGTAAATCGCATGATAGATATAATAATGCCAGTTAAGTGGAGAAAAAGTTTCATATTTTGACGGATAATTCAATTGTCCATAAAAGTTCTAGATTTTTTGGTTAGTTCTGTAGATATATGAGAAAATCCTAAAAAGCTAATTTTTGTTATTTAAGTCTAGCATCGTTATTGTTGTATCTAATCGTCCACGTCCCTCTCCGTCTTATTATATATAAATAGTTGTGAAGATAAATAGTAAACAATTTAAATACATTCGAAATATATAAATTAGAATAGTATTGTTTTAAAATAAGTAGGTGTTCAAATAAATTATTAACAAATAAACGCTACATTATAAAAGATATAACCCTCCAATAAAATGTATACAACGTTTTGTAATTCGTAAATCTAGAATTTTTAGTTGAATTTCCTGTCAAAATACAAAACGTTTTCTTTATTTAATCAACATTGTATATTATGCGGTTTAAGAGTTCTCCGTATACGCAAATTAAATCCACTCCACCCTGTATACGTTGTAGATGATAACCTTCTAATCGTAAGTTTAATATTTGAATAATATTGGTTTAAATCTTGCTGAATTCTGTATAATTAAAGATTTTTTGCTATTATATCAACATAATCAAAAACACAAATACAGGGTGTCCCATCAGTGTATAATTGATCGACACCTGTTTTATTATTGAACATACGAAAAAAAAATAATATAAAAGTTGTATAACTATATTTAAAAATTACGGAATGGTCCATAAACGAGGTGCTGAACAAACCTATACTTTTCTAAAGCAAAACACCTTGCAGGTAGTTATACGTATTAAATTGTTTTTACATCGTCAAACAATTTTAATTGACTTCATTCATTTGCTATGTTGTATATAGACATCCTATATACAACATAGCAAATGAATGAAGTTTATTAAACTTGTTTGACGATGTGAAAACAATCAGTGTTTTGCTTAAAGAAAGTATAGATTTGGTAAGCACCTCGTTTATGAAGCACCCTGTATATTTAAAAATCGTTGCTAAATATGGTCATACAACTTTTAAATTAATTCTTTTTTTGTAATTCAAATATTAAAACAGCTATCGATCAATTCTGCACTTATGGAACACTATATATTGGCTAACACTGTAGAGCACGTGATTAATAACAATATCTAAACACAATTTGTTGTTAAACTTGCTCCAAGAGCACGTAGCAATCTTTTATATAGTTAACATTGTATAATAGATTGCGACGTGCTCTTCGAGCACGTCGTTAACAACAAATTATATTCAGATATTGTTGTTAACGACGTGCTCTTCGAACGTCGCAATCTATTAAACAATGTTTAACATATAATAGATTATGACACTATACACTCTATCTAACATGTCGTTAACTACAATATATTAATATAATTTGTTATTAAACGTGCTCAAATCTATTATATAGTGTATATTGTATAATAGATTGCGACGTGCTCTTCAAGCACGTCGTTAACGAAAATTTATTCAAATATAGTTGTTAACGACGTGCTCGAAGAGCACGTCGCAATCTATTATACACTGTATTCCTAATTATATAATGGATTGCAACGTATTCTTCGAGCACGTTGTTATCTGATACAATTTGTTGTTAAACGTGCTTAAATAGCATGTCACAATTTATTATATAGTGTATATTGTATAATAGATTGCGATTAACAACAAATTGTATTCAAATACTGTTGTTAATAACGTACTTGAAGAGCACGTCGCAATCTATTATACAGTGTACACTATATAATAAATTGTGACACGCTATTTGAGCATGTTTAACAATAAAGTTTTTCAGATGACGACGTGCTCGAAGAGCACGTTGCAATCCATTATTTATTTAGGAATACAGGGTGTAATAGATTGCGACGTGCTCGTGCTCTTCGAGCACGTCGTTGACACCAGGGATCCCAGATGTACTGAGCCTAAATTCGTTAGCTTGATCGTGAAAAAATCGTGAGAAATCGTGAGATTATACTACAATGCGTAACGTTCAATATTTCAATTTATGTTATAGATGAACAAACAAGTTTTAAATAATTATATGGATTTAAGAAACACTTATTTTATTTTAATTTTTTTTGATATATAGGGTGTATATTTCATTTCTGTTCGATTTAAAAAATATATAGTTTTATTTGCCAGGCAAAAACCCTTTATATCCAAAAATATTATTTAAATCCATGTAACTTTCATTTAAAACTTGTTTGCGTGTGTATAAAACAAAATGAAATATTTAACAATTGCGCACTAATGAGACACCCTGTATAACATATATATAAATTTCGCGAAATTCTCACAGAACACCATTTATAATACGATTAATGCGGGGTCCATTAATATTAATAAATAAATTATACCTTTAATAATTCAATAATGTCCCATGAATATTTAAAAAATATCAAAAATGTTTATTTTCAAAAAACGTTTACAGACCCAAAATTTGATTTGTATGTTTCTGCTTATCGTTTTTAATTATAATTTTGAATCTGTAACCGTTCGTTTTGATATTATCGTAAAGGTATCAATAATTCTAAACAATATTATTTTTTACAAAAAAAATTATAGAAAAAAATAATCTAGTATGTGTAGCACTTATCAAAAATACAAAATCTTGTATTATTTACGCTATTTCACTGTAATATCGAGGCAGTACAATGCGTTGTAGTTCTCAGGTTTCATTATGGTTGGTAACATTTTTCTCAGAATATATTTAACCCTGATGGAATGCTCACTATGTTTATATTAAAGTATTAAACAATTCGTATTCGTGTTTAGATTTTAACTCTTCTAGAACCTCATTCTAGCTACATAATCTGTACAAAATTCTTCAATTACAAAAACCCATTTTACCCTATATTTTATGAACTTTACATTCTGTACACAACAGATTTTTCGCCAATGTCTAAGAATGTGTACAGATAATGGTATAAAAATCTAGAAATTTTCTTCTCAATTTACAAATCGATATGCCTTAAAAACTGTTCCAGAAGTTTTTCATTTTAGATATAATTATTTTACGATATTTAAATGAAAGAATTTGGTCAACAAATAGGGAAAATTAACTAATTCGATGAAGAGGAGACAAATCAGTCAACAAAGAAAGGCAAAAAATCAGAATAGGTAACTAAGTTGCTTTGGTGATCATCACAGTCTTTAAATGAAATATTTTCCTTAAATTAATTTTAACACGTTGACGACCACGCGTCACATATATGTGACAAGCAATTTTTTTCAGGAACTGATGTGACAAATGTGTGACAATGACCCTACAATGATTAAATGCAAATAACTCCCGGGGCCGTTCAGCAGCCATAGATGTGTTTTGGCGTCAGTTTCTGGGCGTGTCTGCGTCATATAATTTTAGGATTGGATGGTTGGTTCCAGTTGTAAACTTAAATTTCTGTCAAAAAGGTATGCCTCTCAAAAAAACGCGGTTGGTTTATAGCATCGTCAAATTTCATAATAGCGGTCGTGAACGTGTTAATATTCACCACTTTTTTTTTCAAATTTGTCTTTGTTAAATTAATATAATCCATATCATTCTCAAAAACAATTATATCTAGAACGAAAATTTCCTCACTTCTCAAATTTAACAATTTACTTCTTGTTTTTGACTAACGTGGTTTGAAAACGGATCGTTTTGTAATACTCCATTGCTAGTGGGTCCATCTCCAGTGGTGATGTTGGCGTACTTGTTGGAATTCGGCGTCATCGCTTGTTTGGCTAGGGCGCCGGCGTCTAGAGATACCCCGGATTTTAAACTGTAATCTGATTTCGTGTTATTATTGTGGTTAGTTTGATTTAAAATATTTCCAGGTAGCGACATTGGAGATACTTTTGGATTGGACGTAGTGTTGTCGATGGATAGAAGTTTATCCACCTAAATTGAAATAAATAATATGTATATTTTACAAAATATTATTATTGTATTTATAAGTAGTACCTACACATATAAAAACTGTTATTTTTACTTTGTAGTCCAATCAAATAGACCCTAAAGTAAATAAAAATAAATGAAAATGCAATGAAATACAACGAAAATAAATTAAATAAAAACAAATAGAAATAAATAAAAATAAATTAAAGTGTAATGAAAAACAATGAAATATAATGAAAGTAAATCAAAAAAAAAAACATAAAAATAAATTTAAGGTCAATGAAAAACAATGAAATATAATGAAAATAAATGAAAGTGCAATAAAATACAATGAAAATCAACGAAAATAAATAAAAATAAATGAAAATAAATGAAAAATGAAAATAAATGAAAATAAATAAAAATAAATTAAAGTGCAATAAAAAAGCAATGAAATACAATGAAAATATATAAAAATACCGGGTGTCCCAGATTTTTTTGCCCAGCGGATATCTCGGTTATTTAATGATATAAAATTGTAAAAAAAAATATGAATAATATTTGTCTAGTAGCCTTTTAAATTCCACTACATAAAGTTATATTCATCAATCCACCCCATAGGAACAACCCCTAACTTTTTTTTTTCAAATGTCACCCCTATATTTTTTTTCGCTGATATAAATACTCAATTTGTCCCGAATACAACGATATGATTTTTGATATACTTTACAGAGTCATAAAGCCGGTAAAGACTAAAAACCAATGTTGTGGTTAAAGTCATTAATAATTAGTTTACATTTTATCATTTTATTATATTAAAAAATAACAAATCCAATGAATAAGTAAACCTCTTAATATGTTTTTTAAATAATTGAATATTTACAAAAATTGTTCGAAATGGCCCCCATTACTTGCCAAACATGCTTCAAAACGTCGAATGAGTTCACGAGTACATGACGCTGTAATCATTTCTGGTGTAATGTTATTGCAGGCTTGTACTATTTTATTTTGCAAATATCTTCTAAATTCAATGGCTGTGTTTCAAATACCACGGTCTTCAGATATCCCCATAAAAAAAAATCTAGAGACGATAAATCTGGTGAACGCGCAGGCCACCTCAAAGGGCCGCTGTTTCCGATCCACTGATTTTCAAAGCGTTCGTTTAAAAATTGGGTAACTAAATTACTATTATGTGAAGGAGCTCCATCTTGTTGCCACCACATAGCACCTCTTTCTTGTATTGGAATTTCTTCAAGAAGTTCTGGAAGGTCATTTTCAAGAAAGTGTAAGTACCTAGCACCAGTTAACGTACCTTGAAAAAAATAGGGACCTATCAGTCGTCCCTGAAATAATCCACACCACACATTTACTCCCCAGATGGTCTGAAAGTTAGTTTCCCTAACCCAGTGAGGGTTTTCAGGAGACCAATAATGCATATTTTGACGATTTACAGTAGCATTATTGTGAAACCTTGATTCGTCACTCCACAATATCTGGTTCAAAATGTTGGGATTTCGTTCCATTAAATCTTCAAAATGTGCTATTAATGTTATCCTTCTTTCGAAATCTCCAGCTCTAAGTTCCTGATGCAAATGAATTTTAAACGGATGAAAATTATAGGATTTTAGGATTCTTTGTACTGACGACTTACTAATATGATTCTCGTTAGCTAGGTTTCGCGTCGATATCTGGGGATGTACTTGCTCATAAGCTAATACATTAATGCACGTTTCTTCAGTTCTTACAGCAGCAGCATGTTGACGATGTTTGTCTTTTCCTGGAAATGACCCTTCTCTCATCCTAGTCTCAACATAAGAATATGTTTTACGTGATGGTTGTCGGCGCTCAGGAAACCTCTGTTGATACAAGTGTACAGCAGCACGAGAATTTTTTTGGCACTCACCAAAAATTAAAAGCATATCAACATATTCGTTTGGAGTGAATGTAAAGGGCATTTTGTCTGTTGTTTATAGCTAGCGAACAATTTCAGAAATGGTCTAAGCATATCGTTAGTTAGTTATAGGTAACAAAAAAAAAAAAAACAAAAACGAAGCAATTCTAATCAAAATAAAAAGAAAATACCAGGTGATACAAAATTAATGACTTTAACCACAACATTGGTTTTTAGTCTTTACCGGCTTTATGACTCTGTAAAGTATATCAAATATCATATCGTTGCATTCGGGACAAATTGAGTATTTATATCAGCGAAAAAAAATATAGGGGTGACATTTGAAAAAAAAAAGTTAGGGGTTGTTCCTATGGGGTGGATTGATGAATATAACTTTATGTAGTGGAATTTAAAAGGCTACTAGACAAATATTATTCATATTTTTTTTTACAATTTTATATCATTAAATAACCGAGATATCCGCTGGGCAAAAAAATCTGGGACACCCGGTATATTAAAATATATAAATGAAAATAAATAAATGATAATAAATGAAAATGCAATGAAATACAATGAAAAACAATGAAAATAAATAAAAATAACAATATGTGAATACAATTTATTGTTAATAACGTCATAATCAGTTATATAATGTAAGACACATTGTATAATATACTGCGACGTGCTCTTCGAGCACGTCGTTAACAACAATGTGTATTCAGATATTGTTAACGTCGCAATCTATACAGTGCGTCCCAAATTATATAACACATTGCGTGCTTTTCGAGCACGTCGTTAACAATATCTGAATACACATTGTTGTTAACGACGTGCTCGAAGAGCACGTCGCAATCTGTTATATAATTTGGGACACACTGTGTTATACAATGGGGAATACATTGTATAATAGATGGCGACGTGCTCTTCGAGCACGTCGTTAACAACAAATTGTATATAAATATTGTTGTTAACGACGTGCTCTTTGAGCACGTCGCAATCTATTATACAGTGTGTCCCACATAATTTAACAACGAAGAGCACGTCGCTAACAACAAATTGTATTCAAATATTGTTGTTAACGACGTGATCTAAAAGCACGTCGCAATCTATTATACAAAGTGTCCCACATTATGTAATAGATTACGACGTGCTCTTCGAATACTTTTTTTTATAGAATTTGTCGATTTTAAATAACCTTAAAAAACACTCTATTTTATTTTTTTCACCTCTTCTCGAGGCCTAAAATACAATTTTTTTTTCACAAATCGTCTTCAAATGTACTTCATTTCTAATATTTAAAAAAAATCCTGTATTTGATCTAAAGGTCTATTTGATTGGACTATTTGGTAGTAAAACTATTTTGTGCTGCTGTATGCCTAATTTTTTTTTAAATTTAATTAAATTGATCTAACTTTTAGCACTAAAAATATTACCAAAAGAATAAAAAAGATACTGCATCAATTTGGGAAAATATTAAATCATACAAAAATATAATTTAAAAGTTTATAATCGATAATTTCTCAAAAATTAATAACTTTTTCGTAATATATTAATAATCCTATTAAATTCTCATTTTTAACAGATATTACGATCAATTTCATTGTTTAAATAATTATTCAGTGAAACAATTATATTAAAGCTGCTTCATGAAGAATCAATATAATTACACTGAAAAGACATTCCAAATATAGTTTTTTTTTTAAGAAATTATTTGAGGCATGATCCAATTAAAATGTTTTTATCTAAATATAAATAACCATTTAGTTTATGTCAGGGATATAAATTAAAAAATATATACAACATTCTCTTGTGAGGGTTTCCAACGTTCATTATTCGCTTAATTAACAGTCTAAAATTTTTAAGCAATTAACTTGCCTCTTTTACTGTAGACACGTCGTTCAATACATCTAGTGGGACTAAACGCTCATATTGAAGAAACACTGTATACGAGAAATATCAAAGTGTGCCTAGTACTCGCCAATATTAGACTGTGTGATTTGGAGAAAGTTCTCTTCCTGTTGAAGCTTTCCAAGCATAGACGCGCAAAATATTTTGTACGAGTATTATTCAAAGGTTAGTATAATTGTATACCATTCTAAATTAAATCGTAACTGATTTATGTAGGTTTAAAATCACATTTCTTTAGGTACCGATATATTTTTTTGTCTTCCATGGTCTTGCTGTACAAAATTTTATCACTACAAGTATTTCTATACTAACTATAAGGCATATTAGTGTAGAATGAGTCAATATCTAAAATAAGTTAGAAACTCCAATTTTGTAAAAGAGGTTAGGTATCAATTTACAATTAACTATTATTTTCAAGATTATAATTATTTAAAACCTTACCACTGTGATAATTTCGTAGCAGTCAACCAAAATTAACAATTTATTTAGAAGAGAACAATTTAAAATAGATCATGTCTCAAATATTTTTTACTTACAGATGTGGCACCCTCATCTTCTTTAATGTTTTCCAATAGCAAGGGTTGCGTGGATCTCGAATGGGGCATAATGAAGGAGGTTTCCCAATTGTCAGAATTATCTGGTAGTAATTTTTCCACGGAAGAAGTCGATTCAATTTGGTCGGGGACAGTGGGGTTTGAATGGTTTGGTATGAGATAATCTGAGGATGTAGGTACCACCTTAAAGAAACACAAAACAAACGTTGGCAACTATCTCTCTTTTGTCATTTTTAGAAGAGGGACATATAATCAAAGAGTAAACTATATAATAATATAGTTTTATATTAGACTTATTTGCTCATTGAAACATATCTTACAGTGATTGGTGACTGGTATAAATAGGTGCTACGAATAAATACCTATTTTTTAACAACACACAGAAACACCAGCTTTTTTTCACCCTTGCTGGCATCCCTCTGCTATCCCCTGAGGGGTTCCGGTAGATCCCCCTCACCCAGACTTGGATTCAGACTACTCTGAGGTTCACAGAGCAGCATTGAAGCTCATATGGCTTATTGTGCTACCATTTGGCTGTCCAACTCTTTCCCATGCATTATTCCAATATAAGAGCCTCACCAACTTAACACACAATACAATATAAAACAAACAAATACCTGTAAGCAATTTTCTTCTGACCCCGAAGGTCTCATTAGTGTAGTATCTCTTTCGTAGGATGGCGGTCGTTGAAATACAGGTAAAGCCGAATTCATGACCTGAGGATCTTGAACGCAATATCCTAGTCTTTCTAATATCGTACCAAACGTAGGTCTGTGTTCCGGAGCTGGATGCCAACATTGCGTCATTATGCCGTACATAGGACCTAAATAAAAATGGTCATGAAATACATTTCGATACCTTGTTATACAATTTTATTTCAAAGATTGTATAGGGTATAGAAAATATTAGGTAATGTAATAGTAGTTAAGAGGGAAGTTTTTGTTTTTAAAAATAAATTTTAATGATTGAATTGTTATTAGAATACAGAGAATAACAATTAGTAAATAAGATTTTCTTATTTAGATGACAGTATGATAGTGTCAACATTGTATAAATGTATAATAGTAGTACTAATAATAATAAAAAATTGATTTAAGAGGAGGAAAAAAAGTTGGGCTGTTGGGGGATATGAAGAATTGATAGGACAAGGAAATAGGGATGTACAGGATAAAAACGTTTTAAAGGACACAGTTATAGAAGAAAATCAACATGAAGAAGAAATAAAGATAGAGGACTTAATATATAAATTATCATTGGAATGAAAGGGGAAATGAATAAGTATAATGAGAACATGAGACAAATGAAAAGAAACATGAAGAAATTGGATGAAGATAGGAAAGAAGATTAGGAACGATTAATGAAGAAATTGGATAAAAATAGGAAAGCATATAATGAAGAATTAATAAAGAAAATAAATGAATTGGAAAAAAATAAAGGAACAAATTTAACAAAATGCACTTATGGCACACCCTGTATGTGTTATTGGCTAACACTGTAGAGCATGTGATTAATAACAATATCTGAACACAATTTATTGTTAAACTTGCTCGAAGAGCACGTCGCAATCATATTATATAATAAACATTGTTTATTAGATTGCGACGTGCTCTTCGAGCACGTCGTTAACAGCAAATTATATTCAGATATTGTTGTTAACGACGTGCTCGAAGAGCACGTCGCAATCTATTGCACAATATACATTATAATATAATAGATTATGATTACTGTACACTCTATAAAGCACGTCGTTAACTACAATATATGAATACAATTTTTTGTTAAACAAGCTCAAGAAGTGTCGCAGAATCTATTATATAGTGTAAATTGTATAATTGTATAGAAGCAATGGTTAACAAGATGAATAAAATAAAAGAAGAAATTCAAGGATTTAGACAACGTAACAAAAATTTAATTAGAAAAATAGAAGAAGTTATGGAAAATAACGTTGATGAAATAGGAAGTGAAAAATTAAAAGTAAGAATAGAAATGAATGAAAGAGAGAAGAAATACAAGAAATAGAAAAGATAGATAGGCATTGAAGAAACAGAAGTAAATAAAGAAAGACAGGCAAATATAGAAAAAATGGAAATAATTGATATTTTAACTTTATCGATTGGAAGTCAGAAAACTAAAGGCGATTTCCATATCAATATATTTATTTTCGACGTTGGGACAGACATTCAGTGCGATGACATTTCAAAAAATTATCGATAATAAGCGTACCAGTTATTTTACCATGTTATTTTTTATATGTGTATACATTTATTAACGAACAAATTTGTAATCTAGATAGCAAATTTGATATTTACGTAATTCGAACACCATATAAATTATTTACTTACCGGGACAATTTGCGGGCGGTTCCAATCGACCACCGCTAGTTACTAACTGCATAACATCTCTATTAGCACAGCCTGTATAAGGCATATAACCCATGGACAGTATTTCCCACAACAGTACCCCAAATGACCAAACATCAGTCTTACTCGTGAAGATGCCGTCTAGAAAAGCTTCCGGTGGCATCCATTTTATTGGAAGCATAGCTTTGCCTCCTTTTCTATAATAATCTGATCTAAAAAAATAATAAAACAAATAAATGAAAATATATGAAAACATGAAAATATATGAAAATATATAAAAATGTATAAAAATATATAAAAATATATAAAAATATATAAAAATATATAAAAATATATAAAAATATATAAAAATATATAAAAATATATAAAAATATATAAAAATATATAAAAATATATAAAAATATATAAAAATATATAAAAATATATAAAAATATATAAAAATATATAAAAATATATAAAAATATATAAAAATATATAAAAATATATAAAAATATATAAAAATATATAAAAATATATAAAAATATATAAAAATATATAAAAATATATAAAAATATATGAAAAAATATAAAAATAACAATATATAAATACAGTTTGTTGTTAATAACGTCACAATCTATTATATAATGTGAGACACATTGTATAATAAATTGCGACGTTATATTTGAGGTATTAAATTTATTACTTACCTGTAAACATCCCTAGACATTCCAAAATCGGCAATTTTAACTACCCTTCCAGGACCCTTCGTAGTGAGCAAGCAATTTCTTGCTGCTATATCTCTATGGATAAATCTGTTATCTTCTAAGTACTTGCAACCTTTGGCAACGTCGACGGAAATTAAAACTAAATCTTTCATTGTTAGAGGACTTGGTCTTTCCTATAGAAGTAAAAAAAAATCAATTTCGACGATTTTAATTTCCCATTTCTATTCTGTATATCATTAGGCAAGAAATTATATAAGTCTACTTTGCAAAATGTAGGCAGTTGATAAATGTTACCAAGAATGTAATTTTATACATTTTGAAAATCTTTATTGCATTAAAAAGCATTCAATTTACAATGCCCCTATAGTAATGCATTCAAAGTGGTAGTAATAAAACATAATTTTCATAATTTAAGAAGGATGATAATTCCAAACTCAACTGTGTTCAAATATATAAAAAAATTCTCAAAGTCATGTGTCTCTTCGGAAAACAACTATTTCTTTCGCTAATACCGCAACGAGCATTGAATTATATTCAAATAAAAACAACAACTTTGATTTTGTTTACTATAAAATACATAATTTAAAAAAAAATAAGCAAAAATTGTTAGATTTGTTCATCAGACGTTAAATACCTTTCATTTTATGTACATTAAGATTAGTTGTAATCACTGAATGAAAGAGACCATCTTGTCAGTTGTTAATTACTGTTCTGTGTAAAAAGTAACTTGTCACTTGTCAGTGTACATTGAGAAGATGGTCTTTTAGAGATAAGGTTAAGGTTTTAATGTGCTTAATATGAATCTATGTTTATCATAAAAATAAAGGTAGAAATAATATAAAAGTCGTTTAATTATTGTTCAAAAATGACAAGCATGCTTTAACAGTTACGTCAGTTACTTTTATAACCCACCTTGTATAAAAAATGAAAAGAAAGGCAACATTAAAATAACATCATAGTTCATTATTCAATCCATAATTTAATAAAATAAAAATAATATTTCAATCACATAAAAAACAATACAAGTTATTTTTAGAATCGACTCAGCACATTAACAAATATCAAGCTTTGCACTCCACGACAATAAATTAGCATAGCCCCAAATAGGTTTCTCTCTTTTAATAATTCAAAACACATATCTCTATCTTTATATAAGTATATTTCCGTCACTCTCATTAAAGTATGGAATGTTCAAAATAAATTAGCAATTAATGTTGTTATCTCTCCCGTCTAGATCATACGATGTTATATCAGCCAATTGAAATTTAACATCGCTAAGATTCGGTCTACAGCACAGAATCTTTTTTGTCGCAGAAGAGTACTTACCAATTTTTAATTTCTTTCTTGCGAGATTCTCGCAACACAAGATGTTATAAGTCAAAGTTTAATTACAAAATATTATGTAAACTAGCAGATTAAGAACAGTGTTCATCAAGTTTTACACGTTAAAGGAAGGTACATTTTTAATTTTAACATCAGTGAAGGTACATTTGAAACCCAGAAGTTATTTGCTACACGAACCGCCCATAACTTATTGCAGGAAGGAAACCCCGTGCAAGATGTGAAAAGTAGCTCGCAAAAATTATAAAAAAAATAGAAAAAGATTTTCTGAATAGAATTATTATTAAAACACCTTCGCGTAAATAAAAACTAAGTACTAAAAATAAATCTAATTCAATAAAGAAACGTACCGGTTTAGGCCTAGACTCTCTTAAAAAATTTTTCAAGTCTCCTCCTGCGAGCAGTTCTAGAACAATGAAACGCGGGTGTTTGTCGAAACAGACTCCGATGAAATGAACAATGTTCGGATGGTTAAATTTCGACATAATGAGCGCTTCCATCAAGAAATCCATTTCGGCTTGAGACGTCGACATTTCCGGAAGCGTTTTGACGGCCACTGGCATTTCCACAGTATCGCACGGACGTTGGCGATAGAAACCTTGGTATACTTCACCAAAAGCGCCTTGACCCAAAGCTCTAAAAAAAAATAGATTCATTAATGTCGCCAGTTCTACCCCAAACATATTTTTTACTTACTTAACTAATCGTAATTGTTCTCTGGGAATGTCTTTTAGATCTCTGAGGGTGTAAACTACACCTCCAAACTCGTAATTTGGATTGTACTCAGTCATCATACTGTCAGATGCCATCCTTAACCTGTCGAGTTGGAGATCGGCTCCAGACAGCATTTTTCTTCTCAATGGTCCAGATGCTCTCTGTTGATAACGATTATCTACAAAAAGCATAATTTTTTGTATACAGTTTTGGTCATCGAACATCTTCCAATATCCCCTCGCACTAAGGAACGATACCAGCGATGCCAAGGAACTTGTGTATTGCGTATTGGAAGATGTTCAGCTGAAATATTTATCTATTTATTACACTTACATAAAACGAAGCACACAACTCCAAAAGCAATCACTAGGCAGAATATTGTGACTATCAAAACGATAACAAACCAAGTTGGGTAAGGTCCTTCTATAGGTGGATCGTCAACAGCTAAAATAACAATTATTATTAAATATAACGAATACAGATTTAAATTTTAAAAACTTACGTTTACATGTTTTCTGGTCCTCTGTTAGTATCCAACTAGGTGGGCAGATACAAGCAATTTCAGATCTCATAACATCTAAAGCAAGACATTTGTAATCGCATTCGCAACCATCGATTTCTGGTATTATAATTACATATCCGGGTCCGGTATTATAACCACTTTCTACAGTAGTAAGATCGACAAGAGCTTTGGAAAAGTCGAGAAAAGAGTATCCTCCTTCTCCGTTTGAAGAATTTGTTGAAGGTGCATCACCACCAGCATAACCGCCTCCACCTCCACCGTAGACACAACCGCCACCTTTAAAAATAATGACACGTTATTAACTACTATCCGTTTTGTGAGAATTAAAAAAAATCACCTCCACCACCAAATCCACCGTCCCCTCGTTCGTCGGTGGAGTTGTAACAAGCCTTTCCTCCAATTCCACCTGCTACTAGTGAATTTCCCATCATAACTTTGTGCATGGGATCCACCAATCCATCAAACATTTTCCAACCACCTCCAGCACCGGCGCTTCTGTAAATTCACATTAAATAAAATATTTGTTAATTATAATGCTAAAATAATATTTAGAAATGCAGCAGAATGAAGTTTAGTCTAACAGTAAACGCTGAAAAAGTATTCTATCTAAAAAGCTACCTCAGAGATGAACCTTTATAAATAAGATTTTACTCTTGCTCTCGATTTGCATTTTCTCATAAAATTCATCACACAAACCAACACTATTTTAGATTCCCTCTCAAGCCTTGTTATAACATTTTAAAAAGTAAATTAGATCATTATTTATGTTTAGATCTTTATTCATGTTCTCATTGTGTTAAAAATAAAGTTAATTCATATTTATTATTTTCCTCGAACAAGGCTAGGAAACTGATTTGGGACGTTTCCGTCAACAGGTCTAGACTGAACCCAAGTCGTTTCTACCTTTACAAATTTACACTAAATGTACTATGGTGAATTAAGATATAAATATTCTTAAGCGACTATAAAGACCGAAAAATACAAATAACTAATTTATTTGAAACTAAATTAATAGCCTATTTTTTCTATGAAACATGATATGAAAAAAATCGATTATATTTTTAAAACTTTATAACTTACTTTGATCCGTACATTTTTCCTGTAAATGGTAATTTATTCTTATCAAAACCTCGTCCATGCTGTTCTATGTTATCGACGCTGAAGTGACCAAGACCTAATCCACCACCTCCAGCAGCCACCGCTAAAGGGATTTTTTCCTTTGATCTATTACGCTAAAAAAGAAGTATAAAGAAATTAAAATTTCTGCTTGGATGCTGGGTTACCTTCTAATTATATATTTAAATATTAGCAACTCTATGAAAAAGAAGTAGGTAATTATTTGATACAAACAAATATAATTATTATTACTTACAAGAAATATGAAAGTACCACCTCCACCTCCTCCACCACTGTCATTGATGCTGATATTTAAAACGCCTCGTATACCCGTACCGAAGTTTTGATTTGAGTGACAGGAAGAGTTCCGTAGGGTTCCAAGGCTCTAAAAATAACGTATTTCTTTTATTAGGCCATGTTCCTAATCTAGTAATAATTATTTGTTTAACAAGATAGAGAAGTAACATATTAACTGCCGCGACCAATGAAACTAGTCAGATTTTAATTCCTAGGTAGTAAAAATGATTTTTAATGCCTAGGCAGTAAAAGTGTTGCTTCTGTGCTCGAGAAATGTCAATCAGAAAATAAAAATATTTTAATCAATTACCTTTACACAAGAACTGGCTCCTTCTTGGCCAACTAGCAAAAATATGTCTTGTCCTTGCTGAAGTTCCAATACAGTTCTTAACATGGCTCCTCTAGACGAACCCATGGAAGAACTACCTTTACCACCGCTAGCACCAGTCAATATGAATCTAGAATTAAAAGAAATTGTTTTTTAAATGTAGTTTTTTTAATGTACTGTTTTTAAATGTACTGTTTTTTAAATGTACTGTTTTTTAAATGTACTGTTTTTTAAATGTGCTGTTTTTTAAATATACTGTTTTTTAAATGTACTGTTATTTAAATGTACTGTTTTATTTTATTGTGCTGGTTTTATAATGTTTTTTAAATGTACTGTTTCTTAAATGTACTGTTTTTTAAATATATTTTTTTAAATGTACAGTTTTTTAAATGTACTGTTTTTTTAATGTACTGTTGTTTAAATGTAGTTTTTTAAATATACTGTTTTTTAAATATACTGTTTTTTAAATGTACTGTTTTTTTTTAATGTAAATGTACTATTTTTAAATATAAATGTACTGCATTTTAAATATACGGTTTTTCAAATGTACTTCTTTTTTAAATGTACTGTTTTTTAAATATAGTTTTTTAAATGTACTGTTTTTTTAATGAAAATGTACTATTTTTAAATATAAATGTACTGCATTTTAAATATACGGTTTTTCAAATGTCCTTCTTTTTTAAATGTACTGTTTTTTAAATATGGTTTTTTAAATGTACTGTTTTTTTAATGTAAATGTACTATTTTTAAATATAAATGTACTGCATTTTAAATATACGGTTTTTCAAATGTACTTCTTTTTTAAATGTACTGTTTTTTAAATATAGTTTTTTAAATGTACTGTTTTTTTAATGTAAATGTACTATTTTTAAATATAAATGTACTGCATTTTAAATATACGGTTTTTCAAATGTCCTTCTTTTTTAAATGTACTGTTTTTTAAATATAGTTTTTTAAATGTACTGTTTTTTTAATGTAAATGTACTATTTTTAAATATAAATGTACTGCATTTTAAATATACGGTTTTTCAAATGTACTTCTTTTTTAAATGTACTGTTTTTTAAATATAGTTTTTTAAATGTACTGTTTTTTTAATGTAAACGTACTATTTTTAAATATAAATGTACTGCATTTTAAATATACGGTTTTTCAAATGTCCTTCTTTTTTAAATGTACTGTTTTTTAAATATAGTTTTTTAAATGTACTGTTTTTTTAATGTAAATGTACTATTTTTAAATATAAATGTACTGCATTTTAAATATACTGTTTTTCAAATGTACTTCTTTTTTAAATGTACTGTTTTTTAAATGTACTAGACATTCTGCACGCTCGACACACAGTGTACTGTACATAACCTTAATTGTAATGTAAATATTATGGAGAAGCTTACGTGTAATAGCCTGTCATCGGCACAACCCATTTTTGTACTCCTGTCAATCCAGGCTCATGTACGACTTTAATATTTAGCTTGGTACCATTATAAGCTTTCGTACAATCAGGTTGAGTAGGTCCAAATCTGCCTTTTGCATTGCAAGTTGTAATCTTGTACACTGAAAATAAAAAATATATAAAGGATTAAATTATAGATGGACTTTAAAACCAAAAACATACCAGTTTTATTCACAAAGTCCTTGAAAATTTCTTTCTTTGCTTCGTGTCCTTCCCTTACATCCCAATAATTGTATCCACCGAGTTCCTCTTTTGGTATATTGAGACCGAAACATTCAGGACTCAGTGAAACGTCATCAATAGCTATGTCACTTAAGTAACGAATGCCTCTTCTGGCTTCAAAATGAAGAAAATATCTAAAAAAATAATTTCCATTGCAGCACCTTACAAATAAATGATGTAGTAATTTGGAAAAAATAGCCGTTTCATAAAATAACTAATTTCTTCCTGAAATGCAGCCAAATATTTTAGCAAACGACTGAAAGTTTTAGACATTACAGAAAAGTGTAAATGATTTAAATACTTGATGTTATTTAATAACGTTACAGTAGCTTAAAATTCACTCTATCAGGCATCATCTCTGGGGAATCGAGACTAACCCCATGGAGGCTTGTTTTCAAGCGTGGATACAAGGGGGGTAAAACGGTAATTACCCCCCGGCTGTTCGAAGAACTACTGAAATTTATTAAATTTTAAGCATCGAGGAATAAAATTATTTTCCCTCCCCTGGGAAAACAAAAAGATGTTAAAAAAAAGTTGTAGGAAAAGTTGTAAAAAAATAGAAAAAGTTGTAGGAAAAGTTTTAGGAAAAGTTGTAAAACAAGTTGTAGCAAAAGTTGTAAAAAAAGTAGAAAAAGTTGTAGGAAAGTTCTAGAAAAAGTAGTAGAACAAATTGTAGTAAAAGTTGTAAAAAAAGTAGAAAAAAAGTTAGTCTAAAAATACTCTAAGCAATATTCAAACAGCAACATACTGTTCACCTGAAAAAAGTTTAAAGAAGTACTTTTTTTATTAATATTTTGGATATTAGAAGTCAAAAAGCATTACCTGTAAGTAATGTTAGGCAGGATTATAACTTGTCTAACCCATTGATCACCGAAAAGAGTGTATCTCCACCAAATTTCTTTCGGAACATTTTCTGAAGGTCTCAACTCCGTCACTTGTAACGAAAATCCACTTGGATGCTTTCCAAACTTGTGAAGGTAAAACCGAATCTGAACAAAGTTAGAACAACCAATCTGTTTAGTTAACATAATTTTAAATAATGGTAGGTATATAACTTACAGCACATGAGTTGTAATATCGAGAAGAAGAGTTTCCATGTACTCTAGGAGGCGGATTGAAATCAACACTTCTTAAAGTCGCCGACGTGGCGAATTTCGCATTATCCGTCAACATATTGACGAAAAGGTATTTACCAGTACTGTTTTTGTAAGTATGATCAAAGTTTGGTCCAGTAAAATTTGTAGGAGTCGATCCGTTGTGTCGAATCCAAGAAAGAACTTTCACGTCTACATTTTGCCATCCACACCAATCATCTTCGAAGTTGCAACGGGAACCGAAAGGCATTTGATCTGTTAAAACGTTTAAAATTAACAATGCTCTTACCTTTAGGATTATTCAGTTTAAAAATTTGTTAATAAAATAATATTCGATGTAAAACAACAAACATTCTGTAGAAAAAAAATGAAAATATTTAATTTTGTATATTGTCAAACATTTACAAAAGATTTAAATACTAGTTAAGTAAACTTACCGCAGCTTTGGGTCTCATCGTCTCCATACTGGCAGTCTCTATTAATATCACAAACGCTTGTACTATTAATACAAACTTTTGTTCCTTTACACTTATATTGAAGAGTAGAACAAGAGTCATCATTTTTGTGATAACATTGAAACAAGTGGATGTTATCGAAAGCTACAGTAGCTCTATCAGTTGGAGTATCGGAAGGCACCTGCACTTCCAAGATGATCGTAAAATTTTTAGATATTTTCCCTATGGACATATTATATTTTCGCCATTTCTGGCTGTCATCGCCGGGTATACTTTTCAACAGCCATTGGGTGTTTTCCTTGTCGCCTACAATTTTAATAATTGATCCCTCCAATTTTTCCTGATAAATCCATACTGCGAATTTACAAGACGACACTGTAGGAGTGAAAAACGGACTGTTCACTTGGAATGTTGTGGATTTCAGAGGGGAACGCAGTAAAAGAAAACTACCTGCAACAACAGATACAATTTAATTTTGTATTTTGTTAGCCCAGAACGTATAAAAAATTCGGTATGTAAGTTACTAGATATTCAGAAAAGATAGCAGACTGTTGAAGAAACCTTCAACATATATTTAAACTAAAAACATAATTTAGTACGCCATTGGTACAATGGCACTTTCTCGAAAGCGTTAACCCATTTTATACAGATTTTTTTTAAATCAATAAGATTTATATATATATATATATATATATATATATATATATATATATATATATATATATATATATATATATATATATATATATATATATATTGATATAATTTTTCGTTTTTGAGTTAGGAATTTTTTATATTTTAACCCTCCCCCCGTTAATCTCCTATTTTATTTAGATTAATAGTCTTTGTTCCTTTATAGATCTTCGATTTTTGCTAAAATTTTTCGTTTTTGACAAAAAATGTGACATCGGACAAAGTAAACTTATAATACTCTTCATAGACTACTAAGTGAATAATATAATGATTAAAAAGTTTTTCATAGGACGCCGACTTAATAAATAGACACACTGTATATGGCTGGAGCTTTCAATAAAAAAAAACTGTCTTTCGATGGCATAATTATTATACTCTGAGGTGAATATCAGTAACCTACATTTTGATTTCTTTTTTAAATGTGGTAAATTAAAATTAAACATTTTAAATCCAGAATCTTTTATTAATTATTTAGTTATCTTAAAATTTCTACACAATTAATTTAAGTGTTTTAGATCATCATGTTATTATAAGTTCGATTGTGAAATGCATGTATAATCATGTTTTGAGATTGAATCTAACAATTAAAAAATATATATATTCGTTATTCTTTTAAAAAAATATCGACTTTTTTTATAAAATATTCAACATTCCAAAAATTGAAAAATCGCGGGTTATTTTATTGATTCTATGAAAAGAATTAGCCAAATTTTTTACTTTTATATTAAAATGTTTAAAATAAAACTTTCTGAATCGCATTTTCCAAGAATATTTTATGTATTTCTTGTATGTATAAATTTTTTGAATCCGACTCTGTTCTAAAATCGATATTTAAGAATTATATCGTTGCGCCATCTATCATGAAGTAACCAAACTTATATAAAGGTAACTGTAGATGAAACTGTATGAAAGTTGTATGGTAATATTTACCATAGTAAGTTGGCAACATTGATTCTGTCAGTGTCAAATATTTGACAAAAGTCAAACGTCGAATATTATATTTGTTTATTTTGGTTTTTATTATAAACGTGGTGGTTAAAAGTAAAAAAATCTACTAAAGTAATTGATATTTTCTTTGTAAAATAAACAAGTAACTTCCAACATAATGTCAGTTAAAGAGCCCATAAGTTTAAAGTAAGTATTAAATAAACATAAAGTACTAGGGTTATCAAATCGTCATTTAGACCCGGATATTCCAGGGTTTATATTAAAACTCTTCAGGACGGTAGCTTGATTCAAATATTACAGAACCAGAGCTGCACTTTATGTGCCACTTGTGGTAGAATAACACAATAAAAATAATAGTGTAGTAAAACAATATTACAAAATCAGTTTCAGAGTCCCTCATAAACTCAAATCCTTATAAAATAATTTCCACATTAAATTCGTTTTACGTGAGATAACATTGTTATTAAAACTGCATTAAATAATTTTTTTTGTATTTTAAACTTAAGTAACTTTCAAAATTTTCTATTTTTGCTTCTAATTGATATTGTTAAATTTTTTGACTTGCTATAAATATCTATAAACTATATCTAATGACCTCTAAATCGTCAAACAAATTTCTCCTTCTTGAGATATGGCCACTTTTGTTGCACAAACTACCTAAGTACTATATTTTAATTATTAAGAACAAACTATTTTGAGTAAATCAAATTAATTTGAATACTCTTTTTGGGATCATCAAATTATAATGAAATTATTTTGGTTGAAACAATCATTAAAAAAACTTTTAGAGACTTGATGGAAGATGGGGTGGTTTTTACAACCAATTCAGAGATTGACAATGATCTTGTTAAAGAGACAGAAGAGGACCAAGAATACAAATTGAACCTCCTAAAGTTTATGAACATGGCAGTGGCGGGCGGGGAGTTTCAGGATGAAGATTCCTATATAAATGGACAACCATTTGAAATTATTGCTTCTAAAATGACCAACCTTACAGAAAATGGCGCTATTAAAAAAAGAATAATTAGGGAAGGGTAAGTTTTTATATTTTTACACAGTAAAATAAAATGATTACTTGTAATTGAGTCAACTTAAAAAGTAATGGTAACAAGTAAGGGTATATGTGTAGTTCAGAGGCAAACTAAAGAAAATAACTAAAAAAAAAAACACATTTAAGAATCTGAAATTAATTATATAGGAATAAAAAAGAATACTAAAGTCTCATGAAATGATTTTATGCATTAAAAAGGTCAAAATTTTGATAAAATATTCGAATTTTGCACTTTTTGTCAAATTTCACACCATTTTAGGAAAATTATGTATGGGACAAAAATTAGAGAATATTATTACAAGCAACTTTCATTTGAAGAATTTTCTTCTCCAAGCATAAATAACATATATTTTATAAAGTAGAAAAATTACTCCATATTAAGTACCCCCCAGATGTTCCAACTCTGTCCAAAATCTAATCCGTTCACAGCAAACCTGAATAAAGCTTAAGTTTAAAATTTGGTGTTTTTCCCTTTATCCGTTTTTGAATTTTCTTCAAAATTCGAAATTTACACATTTTCTCAAATATCTTGAATACGGTTCATTTTAAAGAAATTATGTATAGGATAAAAATTATAGAGAATTATATTACAAACAACTTTTATTTGAAGGATTTTCTTCTCCAAGCATAAATAACAGATATATTCTATAAAGTAGAAAAACGACTCTCATAAAGTACCCTCCAGATGTTCCGACTATGTCCAAAATTTAATCCACTCACCATAGGATAGATTAAAGCCTAAGTTTAAAATTTGGCGTTTTTTTCTTTATCTGTTTTTGAATTATCTTCAAAATTCGAAATTTGCAACTTTTCTCAAATATTTTGAGTACGGTCCATTTTAGAGAAATATGTATGGAATAAAAATTATAGAGAATTATATCACAAAAAACTTTTATTTGAACAATTTTCTTAAAAAATCAAATTCCACAAGTTTCTTGAATACAAACCATTTAATATTTATTTTTATAAACATACAAAAAACAAGTTATGCAAATTTCAGATTTTTGTCACTAACCCCATTAGTTGTTTAATGTCAAAATTGGATATTTTTCAAAAAAAAAAAAAAGAAATTAATATTATTAATTATGGTAAAATTGCGAACATATACTGGGTGTTCAAATTCAAGTAGGTGTTATTCAGTAAGTAAAAGTCCAATAAAAAAAAATGTTTCATTTAAAAGTTTCTTATTTTTTTTATGAACTTTAAGAATATGTAAAAAATGGGGTTCCAATTTGAAATAAAAAAGACCATTTCGCCAAAATGTTTCCCCCAAAAACTGTAAAACTTTTGTCTGAAACTTTTATAAAATGCTTATTTTCGGCGGTATTTAATTGTAACACTTTAATTTAATTTGAACATCTGGTATAAACATATTAAAAAAATATATTAAACTATCTTTAACATTCCTTTTATATTATATTAGACTTTGACTAGGTTTTTCATGTAGAACAAAGAAATATAGGCGAATCATCAGTGTTGTTCTTTTATCAATAAACAAAGTGGTTTTTATTTCATACTTCTAGGACAAATACTTTCCAAGTTATAAATTGTTTTGTAAATCCTTACAATTGCAAAATTAAGCGTATGCGCAGCGAAATAAAAATGGTCGCCAAAGGCAAAGGGCTTAAGATATTTTATTATAAAAATGGTTTTAAAGTCTTAAGACATAATGGAAACATCATGGATAGTTTCAGGTCAAGCAACCAGCCTTCAAATGTATTGATCCCTAATTTTATTTGAAACAAATCTCTGTTTATTACACTTCTACAATAATAAAATTCTGAGAATAACTTACCTAGAAAACTTACAAATATGATTATAATTTTGTTGCAAATGTTGTGCTTTTTAAGAAACACAAATTTTAATTTTTATTCTTCTGTTTCTAAAGATTTTGTTATGAACTTAATTTTAATGGATATAATTTTTTTAGTTATGGAGAAAAGCCAAAGGACTCTGCAATTGTGAGAGTAGATTACAATGCATACATGGAGTACAATGCAGAACCTTTTGACTCCACTTATGCTAGGGGAAAACCATTTCAAATGAGTGTGAATTGTGGAGAAGTAATAATAGGGCTAGACATAGCAATTCAGAGCATGAAACTAAATGAGAAATCACAGTTTCTCATACAACCCATGTATGCATACGGTCAACTTGGCTGTTTGCAAAGAGTGCCTCCAAATACTGAGGTACTCTTCGAGGTCGAATTGAAGCAAATTGTCGACGTATCTGCCGCCAGTCGATTTGATACTCTACCCAATGAAGATAAAAAAAAATTCACTTACGTTTATGATTACTGTTTGGCTTTGTGTGCCAAAGGAAAAGATTTATACAGTAAAAATGTTAATGGGGCCATACGTGAATACAATGCAGCAGTCTCTAAATTAGAACTGTGCCAATTAGATACTTATGAAGACCAAGAGAAGCACCAGGAATTGCTTTTAAGATTGTACTCAAATCTTTTAGTGGCATATACGAAAATAGAAGAACCAAAAAAAGGATGCATAAATTTCAACAGAATCTGCGAATTAGTGAAGGGTACTGATATTAAAATAACAGCAAAAATGTATTTTAACAATGCAAAATGTCTTAGAATGTTGGGCGAATTTAATTTAGCTAAAAAACGTCTTGAAATTGCTGAAAAGTTAGAACCCAAAAATCCAGAAATACTAAATGAAATGATTGCATTAGACAGGGATATTATGAAAAGTAGACAGGAACAAATTCAAATGGGTAAAGCTTTGTTATCAACTATGAAAGATTAAGCAAACAAAGTAGATCTCTGATATTTACAAACAAATTTTAAGGTTTATGTTTTATTTCCCTGAGTTTAATTTTTATGATACGATTCTTGTTTTGTTTCCAGTAGGTATTGCTGATTAGGTTACGTGTAAATAATGTAGGTAGTTTTGTTGGTACAACGCCAAAACCACGAATTTGCAAATTTTTAGATTTGTTAATATTGTAAATTCATGCCTTAGATATTTAAGCAATTGCTAAATTCCCACATCAGGCGTAGAGGATGTTTGAACTGTCTAGACACATTTGTGACTTTATCATTGATAACTTTCAAGATTTAACACGTCTGTTACAGCAATTAGGCGAAAAATTCAAAATTTGCACATTTGAGGTTTTGGCATTGTACCGACGATATGTTCTAATAATAATTGTTACCACTACAATTTGGTTAATCTTTGAAAGTATTAAAAATTATAATAATTTGCTTTTAAGACTTTTTTTACTACATTTATTGTATAAAATACTACAAAAACTGTTTATTTTCAAATTTTAAGAATGTGTTATTTTTTTTAATAATAAATTTGTTTTTTCATTTGTATTAGTATTATTTATTATTTAATATGAACCTTCAAAGCCAATTAATCAACCCAGAATAATTAAAATTATCCCACAATTGATTCACGACAAATTATATTGAAGAGTCAGATCGCAAAATGAAATTTAAGATTATTTTTTGTTATAAAAACGAACATGCTCTCTTACTAACATAATATACAGGATGTCTATTTAAATAGGCGCCATATGGGAAACTTTTTATTATGAGTTTTTTAACAAAAAGTTATTCTTCATAAAAAGTTCTGCTTATAACTTAAAATATTCTTACAACTATACGTAATTACTCCCTTTCCCTCCTCCCGAGCTGCTCCAAGAAATTTATTAAATTGTTCAATAATATATTGAAATGTACGGAGAGACGGCCCAATAGCCACTACCAAAAAAGGTAATATAAAAGTTTGTTCCTTTATTAAATAATACAAGTATTTAATTAATATCTTCTTCCAAGAAATATAAAATTATATATTGAAACAATTATTGTAACCTCGGGATTTTACAAGAATTCTAAAAAAAAAAATCTGATGTGTCCAACACATGACTTTCCTATCTAGTTATTACAGGCTTTTTCCGTTTATTGTGTACAACCTATTGCAGCATCTCTATAAATGTTTAGAGGATAAACTAAATATATACATTGTCCACATACATCTACCGCGAAACATTTTTCTATAGATATTCATTGAAAATGAAAATACTGAAAAATTTAAATTTAGAACTTTTCCTACAATTTTTCCATTACGGTCCATTTAAAAAAAATCATGTATGAACAAATATTATAGAGATCGATATCGCAAACAACTTTTATTTCAACAATTTTCATAAAAATCAGAATTTTGCACATTTTGTCAAATTTCTCGAATACGGACCATTTCAGGAAATTTTTACATAAAGCAAAAATTATAGATAATAATATTAGAAGTAACTTTTATTTGAACAATTTTTTTCTCCAAACATAAATAACAGATATATTCCATAAAATATAAAAATGGCCTCCCATAAAGTACCCCCCCAGATGTTCCGACTTTGTTCAAAATCTAATCATTTCACGTCAGGCCGAAATAAAACTTAAGTTTAAAATTTATTGATTTTTTCTTTATCCGTTTTTGAGTTTTCTTCAAATTTCGAAATTTACACATTTTCTCAAATTTCTCAAATACGGCCCATTTTAGAGAAATTATCTATGGGATAAAAATTATAGAGAATTATAATACAAACAACTTTTGTTTGAACAATTTTTATAAAAAAAAATATTTTTTTACATTTTGTCAAAATTCTCGAATACGGACCATTTTAGGAAAATTTTGTATATAACAAAAATTATAGATAATAAAATAAGAAGTAACTTTTATTTAAAGAATTTTCTTCCCCAAACGTAAATAACAGATATATTCCATAAAATATAAAAATGACCACCTATAAAGTACCCCCCCAGATGTTCCGACTCTGCCCAAAATCTAATCAGCTCATTAGACGCTAGAACAAAGCTTAAGTTTGAAATTTGGTGTTTTTCCGTGTATCGGTTCATGAGTTATGCGTTATACAGACACACATCATCGCGAAAATAGTCAAAACGGATTCAGGGGACCTCAAAACGTAAAAATCCGTCGAAAACTCGAGGTCGAAAAAAATCATGATTCCTATACTTTCCTTATATCTGTATACAGATAGGAAAGTAAAAAGATTGTAGAAAAGAATAAAATTATTCCCACCCCTGACTTCGATTTTTCGATGGATTTTTACGTTTTGGTATCCCTAAAATTAGTTTTGAAAATTTTCGTGATGTGTGTGTCTAATACTGGAAAACTTATGAACGGATAAATTTAAAACTTAACCCTAAATCCAGATTTTTTGAAGAATGTTCTTCAATCATATTTCTTAAAGTAAAAAAATCTCATGTGTCCAACACATAACTTTCTAGTCTAATTATGACATGCTTTTTCCGGTTATTTTGTACAATCTATTGTATCACCCCTGTAAAATATTCATTGCCAATGAAAATACTGAAAAATTTGAATTCTATACTTTTCCTCAAATTTTTCCATTACGGTTCATTTTAGAGAAATCATATATAAAATAAAAATGATAGAGAATGATATCACAAACAACTTTTATTTGAATAATTTTCGTAAAAACTTGATTTTTTTTAATTTTTGTCAATTTTCTTTAACACAGACCGTTTTAGAAAAATTTTGTATAAGACACAAATTATAGAGAAAAATATCACAAGCAATTTTCATCTGAAGAATTTTCTTCTCCAAATGTAAATAACAGATATATTCCATAAAATATAAAAATGACTACCAATAAAATACCACCCAGATGTTCCGACTGTGTTTAAAATCTAATCAGTCCACTGTAGACTGGAATGAAGTTTAAGTTTAAAATTTGGTGTTTTTTTCTTTATCCGTTCATGAGTAATCTACACACATAGATATCACCGTGAAAATAGTCAAAACGGATTCCGGGGACCCTAATACGTAAAAATCCGTCGAAAACTCGACGATGATTCCTATACTACTTTTCTTATCTGTATACAGACAAGAAATAAACAGGAATTTTCCAATATTGCAAATTTTGCTTATATGGCCATTTCATGATGGCAATATTACAAAAAAAACATGGTGTCTAACCAGAGTCTACGTCAGAAATAATTGACACACATTTTAGACGTAGTAGTAATGTGGCAATTACCCTCTCTGTAATGAAACAATCTTCGAGAGGCACATTATGTTTTTTTTTCTTCTTAAATTGCAAACAGATTATTTCACAAAAGCATCTTTTTTATCCTCATGTAAAATGTTAAAGGTAGAAACGTATATAATGAACTAGACATTGGACAGAGTTGGATTATATTTTACAAACTATTATTTTAAATATTTCAATTTTGGTAAACTAACATTCTTTACTTCTAAGTGATCTAGGATGATATCCCTCAAAAACTTTATCCCAAAGACTTAAATTTGTTAAATCTCTTAAAACTTGTTTTTTATCTTCATATAATTTTGTCTCTTAATTTTTACACCAAACTCTTCAATTCTACGTCTATTCTCTTCGCTAGACATCTCAATACTGACTATTCAGAAGATGGGCTTACGTTAGACCGCTCGACCAACCTGGCTGTAGTAGTAGTAGTTAGTTTAGTTGAAGTACGAAACGTCAAACGAAAACATGCGAAACGTCAAACTAAAACGTTATGTGAAACGTCAAACGAAATGTTGATTTTTCTGTTCAACGTTAATCTATACCAAGTTATCTACATAATGTCGTTTTTCCCATTTGAATTAGACCAGTAATGGCTTTTCGTTTTGCGCATATTTTTTACTGTTCGACATTAATCTATACCGCATTCTTTAGATAATGCCTTTTTTTCCATTTGAATCGGACCGATAACAATAAAGATACGCGTTAAGGCCCTTCTGGCCTTTCTTTCTGCGAATGATTTTTCTCTTCAACGTTAATCTGTACCACGTTCTCTACATAATGCCGTTTTTTCCGTTTTAATTGGACAAATAATATCCGAGAAACACGCTAAGGCCCTTCTGGCTTTTCATTCTGCTCATGATTTTTCTCTTCAACCTTTATCTATACCACGTTCTCTACATAATGCCGTTTTTCCCGTTTGAATCGGACCAATAGCAATAAAGATACACGCTTAGGCCCTTATGGCAATCACATAATTGTTCTGTTCAACGTTAAAAGAGATTTAATTTCCCCCACTCCCCCGCTTCCCCTCACTCTTACCTACTGAATTTGTACCTCTCACTCTTAAACATTGAATGTGAGCCCATGGTAACTTTGTCTATTTATTTTTTTTCTATAAGTTTCTTAAATTCTTGTATTTTTTAGAAAAATATTTCGAATTAAATTTTTAATAATTTGAGGAAACATCGTTAAAAATATAATTGAAAAATCGCGCTTTCACCATCTATTTTTTCTATCTTTAACGATTTATATGTAACTAAGTAACTATTTAGAAAAAACTTTGTGAATACGTATATGTTAGTGTAAATTGGATTGAAAATAAAATGTTTCAAAAATACAAAGAAAAAAATGCTTACCTCCTGTGCTATTATCAGCATCAGTTCTCGGTCCGGTTTCATTGGCTCCGACTTTAGCACCGGACGTGATGAAAAACCCATTAGCTATGTCCTTTCTCCAATGCCAGAGACAGTCATTTTCGAAATCGCAATCGATCCCCGGCTCAAATTCGTTCATTTTTTCTGGCGGATTTTCTCCTTTGACGATTCTAATTTTGTCCGTAATCTTGTTGTACTGTTGTTCGGTGTTCATTCCTCCTGTGGGTTTAATTATAACTGAGCAATCAGATTAAATGAAATTATTAAATTTTTTATGCACGATCGGGCGATAAATACGTTTAGCGGGCGTTAAGTGGCCCTTTATCGCCCGCCGGGCGATAAAGTAAATTTATTTTATAATAACCGGCTCACAGAAGAAGAAAAAGGGAAATAATAGTTATTGATGCTATAAAGATTTAGTAGGATTTTTAATAATAATATTAAATAATAAAAATTAGACCTTTTACCTACCTTGTTTCATTCTGAAATCGAAAATATCGGCTCTTTTAGAAGATTCAGTCTCATTCGGTTCCATTCTAGGATTAGCATCGGCCGGCATTAAATCTGCTTCTCTTCGCTTTTCTTCGTTTAATTTTCTTCTAATGTTGGCAAAATTAGTAGTGATCGGACTATTTCTTTTACTTCTAGAATAATTTCACTTTGTTTAGTAAGTTTATAAATAAGTTTAAATATAAATATTGTCAAATAATGGTGAATTGTAAAATAAATTAGCAATGTGAAATATAAATAATGCTTCAGTATAAATTAATTAAAGGTGAGAAAAAGAAAGAAAATATGTCCTTTATCTTTCTTTTTCCCACCTTTAATACATTAACTCGCACATGGCTACCGCAAGTTTGAAATTAATTAGTACGTAGTGTAAATAAATTATAAATAAACTATTTAAACAATCGTTGGAATATATAAAACTTTATTTGAAAGCTAATTTTAATAGATAATTAACGTTAGAGCTCAGCAAAGTTTTTCAATTATTTAATTTCATGTTTCTTTCAATAATGTTTGGTTATGTGCCACATTTTACAATACATAACGGATTAATCATATAGCTGAATTCCCTGAATTACCCTTTCGTAAAATATTTGTACACATTACTTTTCAATATTTTATTTTTTGCTTAATAATATGTGTGGTTGTAACCCCATAGTGACGCCAGTGTTTTTAACTTACCTTAATATATCTTTACTAACCTAAAGTACTTTGTCTTCGAAATATAATAATCCGGGTTAAAAATATCTTTAATTTCGTCATCTTCTATATAACTAAATGGACGCAATTCTTGGTGTGAATCTAACTTATGTGTACTATTAATTTTAAGGTTTATTTTATCTTTCTCTTCTCCTGTTTTTTCGCCTTCATCTTGGCACTGGATCGAAATGCTTTGCAGTATAAATAGAAGCGTAAAGGGTAAAAACCTTTTCACGACGATTTCCATTTCGATTGTGACTTAGTTGGGAAAGATATATATGGAAACTACGAACGGATTCGACATTTTTCTGGTTTCTTCGCGAGTCAATCTGAAACGAAATTATTTATGTTGTTTAGAAGTAAAATATTTTTATGTGTATAAAATAATAAATAGTAATTGTGATTTTGTTTAGAATAGTACTATATAAAAGCTCAAGTATGGATTGTACTGAAAAAGACTGGAATAAATTTGTTGGTATATTTTATGCACTATTTAATGACACTTGAGGATTTTTGTCAACTATCATTTTTTATTTAGATAGATCTTTTCTTTCTGAATCCATCAATATGGGGTTCGGGTGGTTTCGATGTTCCATCAATTTTGCCCAACCCTGTATAATATATACAAAAGTATAACGTAGATGTAAAAAAAATGTGAAATACAAATAAACATGTGTATTGTTCCTTAGCATACATTCCAAGTTTAGAATCCATTAATCATTTTAAAGAAAACATCTATTAATGAAAATACACAAAACGAAAATATTAGTGAAATAACGTTATATAAAATTAACGATTCGATTTTTTTTTGGATGCTTTCCAACATATTACTGAATTGTTTTATTATCACCTAATAATTAAATTGTGAGGGGAATGAAAAACTCAAGTTTTCATCACAATTTTTTTTTATTAAAACAGAAATGAAGCCCTATTAATTTCGGCCAGTGACCATCATCAGGCCTGTAAAAAAGTAAGTTGATATCTAGGGAAAATTTAAAAATTAAAAAAGTAAGAACTATCTACGAGTTAATGTTATATTAAATTTATCAATGTTGTGACAATCAAGCTCAGGGGCACATATATGAGAGGAGGGTATAATGGAGGTAATTACCTCCAAGCATTTTCAAACATGACTAAAACTTACTATTATCAAAAATAAAGTCTTAAATATTACCACAACCCCCCCAGACAAAGTTTATTACCACCAGGCTCGACAAGAAGGTCCCAGGGGGGCAGCTGTAGGATATTTTGAAGGGACAAGACATTTTTTTTAGAAGCTCATCAGAAAAAGAAGGACCTGGTTTACGAAAACTACAAGTTGAGAACCTTTTTTTTTTTTTAGAAATTTTACAAAGGAACTAATTTTATAATTACTACACCCCCAGACTTACAACTTTAGATGCGCGCCACTGATCAAAATATTAATAATAAAAATATTTGTTCCAGTAACTTAAAAAATAGGGGAAAAAATTGTCACTAACCTTGACAGCTTGCCACTGGTTAAATTTTTCAAAAGTTTATTACAAAACAATAGTCAAATTTGAAAAAAAATATATTTAAATGCGTTTTTCATTTATTGCAAAATTTTAATTACAAACTTTTAACACCTTTTATCTCTGTAACTAAGCCCTTTAAGGGTCCATGTTCCTATATCAACATTAAACAATAATTAACAAATTTTATATTGTCAGTTATTACAATTTATAAATCACTCACAACGCAGATATACCGGGTGTCCCCGCGAATACTTTAAATGGAATTACATCTGATATTTTAAAAGATATCGACTTGAAATTTTGAGGGAAAGTAGGGGGAATATTAATTGTATGAAATACAATGCCAACGTGATATTCGCCGCCCCTAGCCACCCCCGGTCCAAAAGTTTAAACGACCAGGAGGTCGATTCTCGACTCGTAGGAATTTTTTCCTATAGGTATTTTTGACACTTTTCTATACATCGAAAATTTATTACATTTTCCTATAGGAAAAGGTTTCTACGAGTCAAGAATCGACCCCCAGCTGTTTTTTTTTTTGACATATTCTGAAAGAGCGTAGTTTTTTTATTTACTATATGCGAAAAAATGACTTAATAATCATGTAAATCGGACAAGGTGGTAAAGCATTATCGCTAAACATACATAAAAAATGAAGAGTTTGAGGATTTTCTCATGGACTTAATTATTAGATTTTGACCAAATTTATATGAGACCACTCCTGAAGTATCCCCTTTCGAATAAAAACATAATCATTGAAATCGGACACCGCGCTAAAGAATTATCGCTGAACATACATAAAAAAAATATTGCGACGAATTGAGAACCTCCTCCTTTTTTGAAGTCTGTTAAAAAACAAAATGAATTAGAAATTAAAATCAACACATCAAAAAATAAAAGTGTTTGTCACACGTCTCGTAGGGATTCTGAATAAAACTGCTCCTGTAGATATTTTTCAAGCAGGGTTAATACAGAAAATTATGTTATCATCATAAAAGATATAGAAAAAATGCATACAAATGTGCAGGACCTTCATGTATAATGTACGACTCATTTAAAAATGCAACTCGAACGAATAAGGACAACATTAGGTAGCCTAGGTGAAAAATCTTCTAGAAGACTATTTTTTTTTTCGATAAAATAAACAATTTAGAATTTTTGGTAGATTCATGAGCCGAAATAAGCATACTTAGTTCCAAATAGAATGTTTAAAAGATTTTATTATTTCTTCAGCTTCCGGCAATACAATTCTTACATGTGGGGAAAAATTCCTCAATATAGATACTGGATTACGAAGAATATTTCATTTCTTTTTTACATTGCTAATGTAAGCAAACTAATTTTAATTGTAGACTTTTTAACACATAGGTATTGGCTTAATTTTGGATTTCAAAAATTCTAAAATAATCGATAGTGAAATTTTACTGAAAATTTTTTTTTTTTTAAATTAAAGACATTTCACCTAAACTATAAAATATACCGAGCTATTTAAGAAACATCGTGGAACTTTTTCATCTCCAAATTTTCTTTTAACTGCAAAACACAATGGTAAACACTATAATATATTGTAATTGAAGGAAATTTAACTTTTTGCAAACTTAGACGTTTGTCTTCTATCGTTTTGTTCTTCTGAAAAATTCTTTATTATTCAATTCTTCTGTTTATTCTCTTCCAACACTTTTTCTTCAAGTTCTTCCCTTTACGATAGTTCGCCTTCTTCAGTATGTTCCACTTCACCGAGTTGCTCTAAAGTATAGGTCTTTCCATCAATTTCCAATAAATTTCCTTTTATTTTTGCCTGTTTTTTGTGTTCTTTTGCAATTTTCATATGTTTCTTCAGTTTTTTTAGAATTTCCTGATATTCGGTACACAGATCGTTTACGATTGATATCTTTTTTTTTCTTCTTTTAGTTTAGAAATGTTTCTATATAACTCCTGTTTTTTTTATAAACGACGTCAACTCCAGCACTATCCCTTGTTCGTTGGTAGTTTTTATAATATAAAATTGCTAAAGAAGAATTCGACCAAATGATCGAATTGGGCGTTTGTCGCCCCTCATATGATTATTTCACTTCTGCCTTACACATGGTACCCAAAAAAAGATTCAAACGATTGCAGACCTGACATATTTCCTTTAAGGTTTATTTCTGACGTCAATTTTAAATGTTATGACTGTAAGATCTTCTCAAAAATCGATTCTATCACCAGATGCCAATAACAGAAGAAGTAATTTTCAAAACAGCAATCACCAATCCTTTTGATTTTTTTGGATTTCTTAGAATGCCTTTTGGACTACGAAACGCGGGCCATACATTTCAAAGATTTATTAATGAAGTCACTAAAGGTATAGATTTTATTTTTGTATACTTAAGACGAAGTACTAGTAGGTGGTAAAAATGAAACTGAACATTTTAAACATTAGATATTTTATTCGAAAGATTAGATTCTTTCGGCGTCAACGTCAAGCCAAGTAAATGTATTTTCGGAGTGATTAAAATTAATTTCTTATATTAACGAAGACAGAACAAGACAGACGTTTATCATATTATTTTATTTTTTTGAAATGAAATAAATATATTTTATATTCTTAAAGTAATTTTTTTCACAAACAAATACTAAAAAAGTACGTTTTTTTCAGAATGTGTCAAAAAAATACGAAGTTTCATTTAAATTTTTGTACCGGGGGTGGTTGGGGGCGGCGAATATCACGTTATAGTTAATTTTCCCTTTATTTCCTTAATGACATTACAAAATTTCAAGTTTGCGCGGACATCCGGTATACTCATCTGAAGTTGTCAACTCAAGATCTGCCCGTATCAAAGAATATTCTTTATGGTGATATGCGCTCACTGTAGATGTACCCAGATAGCACAGGACGTCCCATGGACGTCCTGATTTGGTCCCTTGTTGGTCCGGTTGGTCCCGGACCTAAATAGGACGTCCACTGGACTTCCGATTACAGTTAACACTAGGACGTCCTTAGAAGGACGTCATCTGGACGTCCTATTTTGGTCCCGTTTCGACAAAGCATTTAGTTTTCGGTCCGAGTCCGGGACGTTAATGGGACGTCTATGGGACTTTCTATGCACTAGCATCGTTGGTCTTTGAATCGATAACTTGAAATTCAACGTTTTGATTTTGCAAGAGTATGAGGACAGAAAACCTAACCTATCATTTATTTTCAAATGAACAACAATAGCTACAATTTTCGGCATTCAATAATTAACTTAAATAAGTGAGTTAGATTAACGAAGAAAAAAGAAGGTTATATAGTGTTATTTGTTATTTTTTTGATGCTGGTGGTAAAGTGGTTATAAAGTGAAGTGAGTGTTTTGTGTTGATAAGAGAATAAGTATTGTCGGTAGCCGCTGTCGGAAAGAAAATATCTTAATGGCGGAAAGTTGGAGCAAAAGTAATTTGGACAAAATTATAATACTCAGTTTTGTCGACACAAGCTATAAGTAGGACCCAAGGTTTCATCTTGCCAGCACTGTGTGTTAAATTTAATTCATTCCTGTTTTTTTTTTTGTAAACTGAAAACGTTTAACTCTAGCTAGGTTTTTTAGGATAAAAGTTGTTAAATAAAGCTCTTTTATTGTTAACATTTTTGTTATTATTACCCTTTATGGATTATGGTCAAATATCGTCCCTCGGACGTCTGATTTTACGTCCCTAGGACGTCCCGCAAAGGTCCCTATGACGTCCTTTTGGGATGTCCCAGGGACGTCCCTAAGGGACGTCCCTAAGATGGACA